TCTCCATTTCCATCTCAGCAGATACCAGGAGCCCTGATCCTGCTGGCGTGGCAATGACAAGGCTCTCCAGGGATGGGGCAGGGAGGAGAGGCGATCCTTGAACTATCTGGACGGAGAATTTCTTCTTCACTTGCCTTAGGCTTCATGTACATTCCCATAGTTTTTATTTCTTCTTCCCTCTGCAAAGAAGCCAAAAAGGCTCCGTGTGTGCTCAAACCCCTTCCCCATCCTTCATCTGCTCTCTGCTCCCATCCACCAACTTGGAGAGAGGTGCACGACCTCTTTCAGAGAAAGCTTTGCCTGGGGGTGCAGCAAAGCAGGAGCTTCAGAGCAGTTTTTCTCACTAGTGAGCCTTCCCTCCTTTTTTACTATTTTTTTTCCAGCAGCAACCAAGGAGCTTTTGCCAAAATGTGTTTTCCACATGTTCCCTATTAGTCATGCTCTCTGTCTTACAAATCTGTTACCAGTGCCACTAGCTGATGCTATTAATTTACTTCCAACCGGCTCAAGAGCTCAGCAGCAAAATTCCAGGCAGTGTTCCTAAAACCAGACCCGGCGGCTTGTTTGGATTTAAAACCAATGCCCCTTTCTTTCCTGGTGTATATATATAGCACCTTCCCTCTTTCTTCCAAGGCTTGGCAAGGCAAAGAGGGGCCAGGAGCGGCGGTGGGACCGGCCGTAGGGGTGCGGGCAGCTCGGACAGGACCTCCCGGCGGTGGGTGCCCGGTCGAATGCAGAGGCGGGGTTTGACAGAACTTTAAATACTTCCCTTGAGCTCTGGTTTCCAACTGCTGGAGCACGGCTGGACTGAGGCGGCGGGAGTTTATCTAGGGCAAGGCAGAGGGCTGGCGGCACGGGAATGTCGGCGGAGGAGGGAAAGCCTCTGCGAGAAGCACCATGTCTCTGTAAGTAGATTTTTTTCCATTGTTTTCCCTGCAGTTTGAGCAACGGTGTGGGAACTGTGCGGAAAGGAAGGACGTCCAGCTAGCACAGATGTTTTTTTGGTTTTGGGTTTTTTTTTTCCTTCTGCTTATTTTAGACTCAGGTTTTAAAGTTTTCCCAGTTCCAACAGTTGTGGCTGCGACTGCACAGAGGGGACAGTGAGTTTTGGGAAGTAACCGTGATGAGAATGTGGAGCCAACAGCTCATTCCTGTACCTGGCTATACGCAATTTTCACTACTTTAAGTGCTGCTGGTGGGTTGAGTGGTCCAACTCCTCCTTTGTAGCTGTTTTGAAGTGAAACTTGTACCCCGCGTGCGTTTCATATACTGCATGTCAGCTAGTCTGGAGGTGACATGTGAAGATAGATGACTGAATGAATGGATTTCAAAGCCACAGGGATGGTGGGTCCTCTCATGCGATCTCTCCAGCAGATAATTTAGCTACGTGAACCACCTAATCTAATCCATCTACCTGCTGCAGATCCACACAGGTTTTTCTCCCCAGGGAGCTGGACTGTGTAACTTTCCTGCTGCATGGAGGAATTAGGTCTGAAGCACATGGAAGACGCAAAAATCCATTTTCTGTGCTTTGATGGTTGGCATTGTGAGAAGATGAGATATAGCCTTTTCCTAGTACCATCCTATTCATCAGCAAAAGCAATGTGAACAAATCCTTCCTTGGCAACTTGTTTGCCTTATAACTGATTACAAAATATAATGGTGTACTAACCCCCCGCCCCGAGCAATTAAAGGCATCTCGTAGTACAGTCTTTCTAGCCAGTGAGTCGCAAAAAGCACTGGAATTTTAACTGAACTGATCGTAGGCAGGGTTTTTAACTCATTTCTTCAGCTCCTGCTTTCAAATACGGTGCCAGGAGAGCGGGTGGACATGCAGGAGCGTAATGTCAAGGTGTGATCATACCCAGAGGTAACAGCGGGGTCCCAGGGGCGCAGAAACAGCTCGAGGCTGTTTCCTGCAGATGTTCCTGCAGATCCAGATGTGCACAGAGGGCTGAGCCTCAGTGTCAATGGCAGGACAAATAGCTCAGGCTAGTGGCTGGTAACCAGAGGTGGCCTTCTCAAAGCAACAACCCACCTCTTCTGTTATTTTGCAATTTCTTTCCTTTTCCTTGACTCAGGAAGTTTGTGAATGTTTTGAAGCAATGCTATTGGGTGCTCCTTTCTAAAATGTGTTTCCCAGAGGAGGCAATGGGTGCTTTGCTAATAATCCTGACTAATATCAGATCAAAACTTGAATATTTACTCCAAAAGCCATCATTACCTTGGTCACACCCTCCCTGCCCCAGCAAACAGCTGTTGGGAGGCGAGTCTGAGCTTTGGGAATTGTGTCCTTGAGGAACACTTGCAAAATGGTAAATTATCCTCAGTGTAGGCATCATAAACTCTTTAGGTGAGCACTGAAATTATAAATGAACTGCTCTACAGGACACTGGAAGCCTGTGTTTTAGAACAATTTGGGGCTTGCAACTAATTGGGGATGCAGGTGGGAGCTGGTGGGTGGCTGAACACCCCAGCCAAGCTGGGGCCGATGTGGGCTTGATCCAAGCCCCAGCCCTGCCTCAGCTGGACCTGGATGCTCCAGAGATGGATGCACCATGTCCCACAGTGGGCCATCACCGCACCCAGCGGGGTCTTCCTTTCCCAGCCCCCCGGCAGCTGGAGCTTGGCCAAATGCCTGGGTTAATCCTGCAAATCATTTAATGCCCCATTTTGCCCATATCTGAATGAGGACATAAATCAGAGGAAGGGTTAAAGACACTTTAAAGTGTATCCACTGAGTCTAAAGAAGCAGATGGGGGATGCTTTCCAATCTCACCCCTGAATAAACCTAATTTTCTCAATAAATAAAAAGTAACTCTGTGGGGATCGCTTTCCACATTCTTCCACAGTGGCTGAATTGTCCTGAAATTGCAGCAGGAGCGTTTCTGTACCGACCACTGGGTCCAAGGCATCACTTTTGGGGCAGGAGATGGAGATTCTGGCCCCAACAGGTTTGAGGGCTGTTGTTATTCACCAGGTAAGTTGAGGGCAGAGAGGAGAACTTCCCCACCTCTTCTTCTGGCTTATTACCCAGCCTGGAGTGAGCTGTTTCTCTGCTCCCTGCCTCAGTTTCTCCAGCTACAGGACAAGAATAACACCATCTGCAGAGTGCTCCCACAGTCTCAGTCTGGCGTGTGAAGACTTGGGGGTTTGGGTTCGCAGAGGATTTGTTTGATCTAGAAATAGCAGGGTTAGAAAATTCCATCTGCCTGCTCTCGAGAGCCCTCGACAGTGGAAGAATTTCACTGCATCTTGAGCCACGGACTGCGCTGCTACCTCCCAGGGCAGCACAAAGGCGAGTGCTGAGCAAACCAGCGCTGTTTGGCTCCAGTCCTAAGAAGCAAAAACGCATTCCAGAAGGGCTTGATGTGGAGAACAGAACCAGGCACGTTCGCTTCTCGCTCCCACCTGGGGCTGTGCCCATGGCTGGCGCCGGTGGCTGCTCCCACCCTGCGCCTGGCACAGGTGATGGGCTCAAAGCCCGGCTTGTGCCATGGAAACCCTAAGGCATAATTTTGCGTCTCCGTATAAAAGTGGTGCAGAGCCAGGTTAGGACCAGGCTCATGTCTGACGGCATCATTTTTCCTCCTGGATGTTTACCTCCACTCAGCCATGCTCACCCAGCACGGAGGGGTAGGTTTGCTGTCCATACCCTTTCAACGTATGGACGACAGCTCCTTTTTCTTCCTCTGCGTGATCGTGGAGGACTGCAGAGGAGCAGCCTGTGCTGGGCCAGCTACTGCTGAGCCATAACATACCGTTGCCATGTGCTACCCCATGCTAACTCGCTCGTGTCCATGCTCACGTGCTTGGCTCCCGCATCTGCCACCAACGCATCCACTCTTTGCTTCTGGGTGCAGTAGTAGGTGTCAGTTCATGGGTGGGATTGGGCTGGCAGATGCCTAATTTACTGCCTGCCATCAGGTGTCTGTGTGGAAACAAGGTGGGTAAACTCCATAACGAGCCTGAGGATGATTCAGAGGAGGGATGCAGGGGAGCAGAAAGGATAAACCCATTCTCTGCTGCCCTGGGGGGACAGCCCCGCTGTTCCCCACCACAGTGCTCTTTGGGTCTGGGTGCTTTCCTTATTGCTCTCATCTCCAGGTATCGGTCAGGGCTGCTGCCAGTCAAGCAGTAAGATTGCCTTCTGCCTTTATTGCTGCCTGGGGTCACCCAAGGAGCTCGGGCTGAGGCCCCATTGCAAGTTAAGCTAAACACAAAATGGTTATTACAAAGCTCTTCCTCTCCAGCTGTCCAGGTCTTCTAATAAATGCATGTTTTTCTCTGAAAGTTTTTCAAGGTTTATTTTTAAAACAGTCTGCATTTGATTAAACTTGTTTTGGTTTGTTTTGGTTTGTTTGTTTTGTTTTGTTTTTTCAAGAGGAACTTAAAAGGGCCATCCGCCTGTAAACATAAATATTCCCATTCTTTTGCTGATTCTTTGCATTTTTCCATGTTTGCTAATGAAAGATATTTCAGCAGTGCAAGTCTCTGTGATGTGGGCAGCATCCTCTACTCCTGCTTTCAGCTCAGGCGCTTGAGCCCATGGTGTGCAAGCAAGAGATTACCACAAGTTAAACACCTTTTTGTGCCTAGCTGCCTTCCATGTTGCCTTGTGTTCACTTTTACAGTCACCCAAACCCTTCTTACAGATGAGCGACGTCTTGAAACAGGCAACAAAGCGGGAAATGGTGAATCTAGTAGGTGCTGTGTCTTGTTGCGTTATTAATCTGTGTTTATTATGATTACGGTGCTGCAGCATGCCCCCACACCGGCCACGGCTCGTTCCCCAGTGCTGCGCTCTCACGGTCAGCCCCATGTCGTGGTCCCTCAGAGGTCCTGGGCTGATGGGCTGCAGCAGTGAAGGGTGCCTCTTTGAGATAAAATGACTTTATCTCTCACAGATGTGCCAACGTCACAGCCGTATCGCTGACTGCAGCCACAGATGTTAACTCACCGCGATGTTTTTTTATTTCCCCCTCTTCCTGCAGGTTATAACTGAGTAGCCCTTATGACCAACATGAGCTGGAGCTTTCTCACCCGCCTGCTAGAAGAGATTCACAATCACTCCACCTTCGTGGGGAAGGTCTGGCTCACCGTGCTCATCGTCTTCCGCATTGTCTTGACAGCGGTGGGGGGGGAGTCCATCTACTCCGATGAGCAGAGCAAGTTCACCTGTAACACCAAACAGCCCGGCTGCGACAACGTCTGTTATGATGCCTTTGCGCCGCTGTCACACGTCAGGTTCTGGGTCTTCCAGATCATCATGATATCCACCCCTTCGGTCATGTACCTGGGCTATGCCATCCACAGGATCGCCCGGTCGGCGGAGGAGGAGAAGAAGTTCAAGGGATTCAAGAAGAAGAAGCAGTTTGCTTTGAACTGGCAGGCAGTGCGCAACATGGAGGACCCGATGGAAGCTGACGAAGAGGAGCCCATGATCTCTGACGACACGGCAGAACACGAGAAAGCCAAAGCCAAGCCCAAGAGCAAAGAGCAACAAAAGCACGATGGGAGGAGGCGCATCCAGCAAGAAGGATTGATGAAAATCTATGTCTTCCAGCTACTTACCAGAGCTTCGTTTGAAGTTTGCTTTTTGATAGGGCAGTATTTGCTCTATGGTTTTGAGGTAGAAGCCTATTATGTCTGCAACAGAGTCCCTTGCCCTCACACCGTGGACTGCTTTGTGTCCCGGCCAACAGAGAAGACCATCTTTCTCCTGGTGATGTATGTTGTCAGCTGCCTGTGCTTATTGCTGAACATGTGTGAGATGTTTCACCTGGGGTTTGGGACCATCCGAGATGCCATTCGCAACCGGAAAATCAACAGCTTTAGGCAGCCTCCCTACAACTATGCCTACGCAAAGAACATCTCCTGCCCTCCCGAGTACAACCTGGTAGTGAAATCAGAGAAGTCCACCAAGATCCCCAACAGCCTGATGGCTCACGAGCAGAATTTGGCTAACGTCGCTCAGGAACAGCAATGCACCAGCCCGGACGAGAACCTCCCAGCAGACTTGTCCACCCTTCACAAACACTTGCGAGTGGCCCAGGAGCAGTTAGACATAGCATTTCAGAGCTACAGCAGCACCCAGGGCAACACACAACCTTCTCGAACGAGCAGTCCTGCCTCGGGTGGCACAGTGGTCGAGCAGAACAGGGCCAACACCGCCCAGGAGAAACAAGGTGCTAAACCCAAGGCCAGCTTGGAGAAAGGGAGCTCAAGCAGTAAAGATGGAAAGACATCTGTATGGATATAGCTTCATCTAAAAAGAGAGAGGGCAGCGTAAGTGGGGTTTTTATTTTGGTTTGTTTCTGTTTTTTTGGTATTGTCTTGTGTTCGTCTCACAGGGCACAGGCACAATTTTTATATGGAAGTCAAGAGATACAAGGAGTTTCAGACCAATTTAGTGCTGTCTTCCAGTACGTTAACAAAAGACTTTTCTTCCCCGATTCCAACATGTTCTCCAGCCAGGAACCTCCAGTGAGCAACAGCAAAACCCCCCCATCTCCCACCCCTTCCGTCACCACCAGAGCCCCCAACAGAGACTGGACAATGTGCTGTGATGGGAAACGGAGCTGCTGGTGGCTCAGGAGAGAAGTCAGGCTGACAGCGAGCAGCTCCCCTCCTGCACGGCAAGGCTAGAGTGCTGTAGGTCAGGCAGTGTTTAATTACTAAATATCCTTAAACAAAATTAATTTCTGATCCCTTGATAAGAAAAAACAACTGACATATTGCATGAACCTCCATGACACGCTTACAGCTGCTGTCCTGCCTGAATTGTTAGATGCTCTAGCAGGCATCGCTGGAAACGAAGGCATCGTTCGATGCTGCGAGCCCTGAGCTGGCATCCAAATCAGGTTACGGGCAGAAACACAGCGACTCTCTTACACAGGGAGACCTAAAAGCATAGCACAGTGCTGAAGGTTTTCGTCTTTTATTCCTCTGTGTCAAAGCAAAAAGCAAATATGATCAAACACTACACAGCAGGAGCGGGCAGTGACATTGTGTCATACCGGTGCCTGTGTAGCCCTTGCTACAGATGTGATGGGAATCGTTGCAGTTACAGTGTTTTTAACAAACTGCTGCTTCACATCATCAGAAAGTGCCTTTATGCAACCAGGAAAACAAAATCGTAAAGAGTTTAGACTTCTTTATTTGCTGAATTTTAGTAGAGATTGGAAGATCAGTGTTGGCAAATTTGTTTTTCTGTTTAATCAAACCCTTATAAATAGTGGCAGATGGCAGACCTATGCATAGTGTGTATATGATGTGTGTGTGTGTACATGTACGTATATATACAGACACATATGAACATGTGTGTATGAATATAGACATAGAGAGATATATATAAATGTAATATCAACCCTGTGGTAATTTTACAGCCTTCCACATCCCCTGGGAAAACCCAGCTGGTCCAGGACTACAGCTGATCTCATCCTGGAGCAGTCTTTGTTTTTCCAGCCTCCAGCCCCACCTGGGGAACTGGCAGCTTTCACACACTTGCCTGGGGAGCTCAGCAGAAGATGTGGCTTCAGTGGGGACAGGACCAGGACAGTAGCAGGAAGTTTTTCATTAGTTTATGGGGAGCTTTTTCAGCTTGGCTTGGTTTTAGGGTGGTTTTCATGCAGCTACAGGAATATGGGGGCATGTTAAAACCAAGCTGCTAGTGCTGAGGATGTGCTTTGGCAGGGTGGTTTCATCCCATGTCTCTTGCACAGCTGCAAGGCTGTGGCTTTGTACTCCTCCAGTAACACAAAATAGAAAGAAAACCTCATCACTGGGAGCATCTCCTGCCGAATGGTAGAGGCTGAAACCAGACACTGCCCCACTCTGCCGCATCTCAGAGTGGGTCTCATCCCTGAGATGTTCCCAAGATGCCTGGGGCTTGGCAGATGCTCTCGCAACCTCCCAAGAGTCCAATGGTTGATTCACCACCATGGAGAACCCAAATAGGCAGAGCCTTCAAGATCAAACTTAACACAAAAGAAGTGAATCCTGACTGAATACAGCGCCATCCCTGTGCTGAGCTGTTCCCTCAGGGCCGTGCCAGCCACCCAAAGTCGCATGCATGTCCCTGTGCCAGTATTTTTCATCCATTAGATCTACATGACTTCTTGCTGGGAATCTTTCTTATGTCCTTGAGATTGGGTCCTGAAAGCCTTGAGGATGCATGTTCCCCAGGTGGCTGGGCCCTTTGGCCAGTCTTGGGAACAGGCAGAGAACTTGGGTACGGCCTTTAGTTCCTGGGAACCTCAACTGAGCTGTGCCATGCCGTTAAAGAACAGTGCTGGCAGCAAAAAAGTGGGTTTAAAAAGAAAGCAAAGAAACATCCTACGAGGTATCCAGCTGTAAATATTCACCGTGGCTTTGTGTAACAGTCTGGGAAAGACTTTCAGGTTTGTTCCTGGTCCTGCTGAAGGCATCGGTAAAATGCCTGGAGTGCTGCCTGCCCTCACTGCTAGAGATCTTCCCCTTGAAAATGGACAGCCGCATCCAGGAGGAGGATCAGTGGATCCTCCCAGCAGCAATGGTCAGGAGTAACACACATCTGTTTTGTGGAGGGATGGCCCTTCTGCCATGAAGTTTGAATGAAAGGCTCAGAAAGGTCACACCACGGTGGCGGGGAGACAAACATATCCAACTGTGCTGTTGCTCCTTATCCCATGTGTGGGAATGTGCTGTCCTCCTGGGCTGGGCTGTACCGGGCAATGCAGGAGAGGCTGGTTGCTGACGGTGCTGCTACCATGAAGATAAATGCATGCAGGTCCACAGCCCAGGGCTGCTGGGGAGGATAACAGAGGTGCTGCTGGGTGGAAACTTGCTCTCTAGCGATTACAGCTGTCCAGGGCACAAGCTTGTCCTCCACATCAATGTGACTTCTCCTTTATCGCCAGCCCTGTGTCCCCATGGGAAACAGTGTGTATTTAAAGTCATGATCCCAAGGGAAGGATGGAAACTCTGAGAGCGATGGTTGGATGCTGCCTGGGTTTTTCTGATTCCTTTTTGATGAGCAGCAGTATCACAGCCCTGGATAAACTCATCCTTCCCACACAATGCTGGAAGGTGCTGTGCAGGAGTCCGGATTTTGGATTTCTCTTGCCCATACCAGCAACACCTCCCTCAGCCCCAGACATGGCCTGAGCATTTTCCAATGACTCAGATGGGCCCCTCAGCTCATGCTGACCTGCAGATTCACCAGCGAGTCACCAAATGCAGGCATGGGCATGTGCCTCCCTTGCTCTCACTTCTGGAAACCATCCTGGCCTCACCATGGGGAAAAGGGGGGGGGACACAGATTTTAAGCCAGAAACCTCAGAACCTGATCACAGGGACCTGACTGAATCATTAAATACATTTTATACAGCAGGGCTATACCCCCTTCCCCAGCAATATAGCTGGTCAGTGCCTGATGGGAGGAGATCCCTGGGCTCCATGGCTGCAGATTCAGAGACACTTAGAGCAACAGGGCTGGAAAGAACCACAGATCTTCTCCCCAACTTGCCACCATCAAATGCTTCCTTAATGGCTAACATGAAGCCCTCTCGCCGCAATCCCTGGCGTCTCCCCTCCTCAGCAGCCATGGAGAACATCTCATGCCTTTAATGGCTGCAGAAACTTTTGGCTGTTTGAAGACAGTTTTCATCCTCCTCAAGTCTGCTTTAAGTTAAACAACTCCAATCTCATCAACCTTTCTCCAAGGGCTGCTTTTCTATCATGGTTTTCCTTGGTGTCTTTGAACCACCACCAGCCAGTCCATATCTTCCCAATGGTGTGGCAGCGCTGGTCCTCGGGCCACCTTCCCACTCTGCTCCTCTTCATGCCCCCATCTGCCATCCTGGTCCTCCCCAAAACCCCATCTTCTGCAGGCATGGGGATTGCTCCCCTCTTCACGTGTGTGCTTGTACAGTCAGGATCTTCCTGCTCCCCTTCAAACTGCCTTTTTATTTTCACACTGCAGACCCGGTGCACCAAGGGGGTTTTGAATGATCTGTCAGTCCTGCAGCAGATTTGCAGCCTCCTCCCGGCTGGTGTCACCATCACATTTAATACGCACACACTGTTTTCCATAGTGAGAGTCAATAATTGCAATATTGACGAGTACTAGAGCCAGGGCGATCAATGCAACCTCCTCATCCAGCAGGGACACAGGGTAACTGCTCTCTCCACCGTCCTTCCAGCCAGCCCTGCTCATCTATCAGGCTTGAAATACTTCCTTGCATAAAGTGCTTTGCAAATGGGAGCTGATCTTGCTTTCTAAGCCTTTTGACAGGGACAGAAGCACAAGAGCACATTCCCGACAGGACTGCTCCTGTGTCATGGGCTGCCTGGGAGAGATGCAAAGTGGCCTGCAAGGTTCCAGCCAGCCTGGAGGGTACCGCTGACTCCTCTGACCCTGGGTAGGAGGGACCCCAGTTCTCCCAGATTCCATCTGAGCCACACACAGGAGCCAGCATGAGTCAGACAGCCCTAGAAATATAAAGGATTATTATTATTATTACGCATACTGAGTTGCTCACTTCCCCCCTTCCTCCTCCCCTCCTTGGCCTCTAAAGCCTTTAGGATATTGTGTCTTTCCACCAAGTCACTGCCACAAAGGCAACCAACATGCATTAATGTCTCTGCAGGAGTGACTCCTTTTGGGGCAGGAGCAAAAGTCCCCTCTTTATCATGTCAGTTCAGGAAGGAAAAGGAGAGAGAGGCGAAATAAGCATAACCACAAGCAAAAAAACCCATCACAACCATTACAAACTAAACCAGCGTCTCAAGGAATTTCAATTAGACGACAGGCAGCGTCAGCCACAGAAGAAATGTCAGTAGTATAATTAATGCTTTGCTTTTTTTTTACAGGCTAGTAGTTTTGTTCACACACAAGACGGGTTTAGCTTTGTAGCTGAACTAATCATAAACGTTGACTCTCTTGCTAAACTTGGTCGGATAAAGTGCCCACGCTTATATTTCTGTTCTTACCATTAAGGGCCAGGAATGTCCCACGTAAAAGCCAGATTACCTTGTTGCTTGCATTGCATTCCACTGGGAAATACTTGAACTTAACTCAAGGCCATAACCAGTCTGTGCTGTTACGAAGTTTCTGGGATTGTTATTTTTTTTGTTGTTCATTTTTTTATGTACTAACTGTATTTGTACTAGAAATTTTTTGAGTATGAAGTTGAATCTGTAAGTATTTTTCAGTGTAAATGTTACATCTGGGCTGTAGTTAGAATATTAAACACTGGTCAAAAGAGAAAGATACATCAG